GATGTGCATGAAATCCCTTATTTGTTCTTAATTTCCAATAATAGTAATTGCTTTATTATTCACTCAAAAATTACTGTACAGGATGTTTGACAACTTCTTAAAATTACTTTTAATTTGTCAAAAGCAAACTGGAAATCAAATCAAACTCTTGCAAGAAATATTGAATTAGATAAACGTTAAATAAAAACGATACTATATTGCCCAAATTTCGAATTTAAGTTTCTCTATAGTTCTTCATATGAATCGGGAGAAAACATCAAAACTGTTTGTCACATTGGCGACACTATAATTTTTTTATAGTGAATAAATCCATAAAGCATTTTCCCCATAAGCAAGTGTCAACCAGCATATTGATGGTAGATCTTGTTAACAGTTCTATTTTTTATTTATTTTTTTACTTACAGTTTACAGTTTATAGGTTTACAGTCTGGTAGACTCTGTTTAACTGGGGACCAAATTGGGGCGTTTGTTACCTTTGAGGTCATTTCTCACTGCATTGTCAAATGAACCAACCCATTTGGAAAACCCGTCCCCCTCCCCACCAGAGGGGGCGCTGCACCAAGAACCACTGAAGAAAAGGACACAAAACCCTCCGAAGGAGAGATAAACGCGACTTTCTTTTTTACAAAATGTAAACAAAAATGTTTACGGTCGCATGGTTTCTCTTTTGCTTTTGTTAAAGACCATGAGTCATTTCTTCCACTCGCGCTCGACCCTCACATTCGTTTCGGTTGTATTTACCCAGAATCCCCCCAGCAAAGCAATACTTCCTGCTTTCTCCTGACTCCGCACCAGACTTCACTGGATCCGAACCAAGACTTAAGCCTGTAGGCGGTCCAGAGTTTTGGTCCACACCAGAGTTTGATTTCACATCCACGTCTTGCACAAAGGACCTGAACCTTTTGGCAGCTGGAGTTGGACTGAAGCGAGCCAAACAGGGCCGGTGTGAATGCACTCTAAATGGTCTAATCCAAGTTGCTTTGAAAGATCGTTAGAAGTTAGATGCTGACTACACTGCATCATCACTGCAACATATGTGATGGTAATGCAACAATTGCAATCGCATCTTTATGACAATGCTATAAAGTCAGACTACATTACCCAAGATGCAATATAAAAACTGTCATATTAACCTTGTGATAATTACCCAAAAAATTAGAAAATAGAGACATTGCAATAACATGTAATTAAAATGCAATTAAGTGAGAAGGGGTCAGTGCTGGATTAGCCCCAATTTTCTTAATTTGGGAGATTGTTGATTGGCCGATACTTGCGTGTGAAAAGTCTACAAGTAAACCACTTTCCTCTTGTGCGCTGCGTGAAAGAGGTTTGAAGGATGGACCGGCCCACCAGCTCATGTCCGTTTGCAGTTAACAACTGTCACTCCACTGTTACCAATTCAGTGATTTCATTGCTACATTTAGCAACTTTTGAGACGACAAACGTCTGCACCAGTCAATCAGTCAAAATCACAACATGCAGATCAAGCTTTTTTTACAGTAGCAGATCTGCCAGGAAACTGTACTCGATGCACTCCAACTATCCTCTAGGTGGCAGGCGTCTTGTTAGAGTTTCTTTATTTACATTTTACAGAAACCTGAGAGTTTCTAAATGCTCAGATTGCCCACAAACACCAACCACTGCCGACTATTTTCTTGTTGTTGGAGCAAAAACATTGCGACTCGCGCACACAGCTCGGAGCACCACAGCACCGCAAATCAGCTTCTGGATGTGGATGCGTGTTTGTCTGGGTCACAGTCTCATCTCTGTGTTGTGGAGAAACAGCCAGACGGAGGAAGACAGAGCCTTAAAACACCCAGATGGTTCTGATGGGGAATAAAAATATAATCATATAGCGTTTCAGGCCTGCCAGGCAGATGGACCGCCGCGGAGTGCAAGAAAAGAGCCAGACCTTTCACACACCCCTCCCTCCTCTTCCTCCTCCTCCCCGGCGGCCATTAATCAGCACCTGCTGGACAACAAATTAACTTGCCGCTGCACAAGGCGGGACAGTTTTATGCCTCTCCGACGATTACCATCTTGATTATGGTTTGGAATTACCTATTCATTACTGTGCTTAACATTCTGATATCAAAATAAAATGGCAACAGGGAGTTTACAGCCGAGGATCACCCTTTCAATCCATGTCAACATGCAGAGCGCCGTGGGGCCGCCGGGGCTCAGAAATGGAAAGTTTGAAAGGTTTATATGTCTTACCATGTCGACAAGCTGCTGCCACAATTCTGACTGGACTTCAGTCTGGGTCCAGTTGACAAAGATAAAGTGGGTTCATTGGTTTTCTCGGACTTCTCTGACCAATGTTCTGCGTTTGGCTGCGTCGCGTGGCGCAGAGGTTAAAGGTCAGAGCGTAAACAGATGAGACGCCACTTAACCTGAGTGAAGTCGCCTCCCCCGCCTTCTTCAAATTAGACAAAGTTGGTGTCAAACCAGTTTGTGCTGGTTTGTGCAGCCAACATGTTTGTTTGTGCCGCTACCATTTAAATGATGTAAAGAAATGTTGCTAGAGGTCATCAAAGGTCAACCAACCCCCACCTTCTTCCAATTAAAAAAAATCTGTCAATTAACTCGACTATGTTTGTGCAGCAAAGATTTTCGTTTGTGCTGCTTTGGCTTTGAAGATCTTAATGTCAGCGTCTGGCGTCTGGCCTTTAAAGGTTAAAGGCCAAAAGATCAACCCCCACCCCCCACTTTTATGAAATCAGACAAAATTGGTATCAAACGTTTGCACAAACCAGAATAAATGCAGTCAAGTTAATTGACACCCACTTTGTCTGATTTGAAGAAGGTGGGGCGGCTGATTGACCTTTGGTGACCTCTGCATTTCTTTATATCTTTAAAATGAACGCAGCACAAACAAAAAAGGTTAAAGGCCAAACAAACGTTTGACACCAATTTTGGGGTCGCGACTCGCTACCTTGAAACAAAGGCGACTAGAGCCGACAAATACCGGTGGTTGGACTGGTGGAGCTCGGACCGTCGCCGTCATTTCCTGTCCATACCCGTTCATGGCCGGGAAACAGCCGCGTTTTTAAAAAAACGGCGTATCAGAAAACTCATATTATATCCAGTATCATTATCGTACGTTGGCCTCCGTTTTCTCAAATCCAAAACGTGGCAGGTACGCCGTGGATACGAACTTTGACACTGGTTCACCATCAGTGTCAAACATCCCGGTTAATCATGGTAGATACGGCTGCTTGCAATGAAATGAACTTTTCCTTTCTCTGGTGTTTTCGCCTTCCTAATAATCTCTGTTGACGGGTGAAATGCCAGGTGGTTTACGCAGCAGCAGTTCATTGTCCTAATTAGTCACACATGGTTGTCATGTCACTCGTTCACCTGTCAGTTTGCTATTCTTTCATTTATTTTTTACGCATGTGAAGCGAACAAGTTTTAGTTTTATTTGAAGAAAAGAACGAGGTTTGATGCAGCAACAGGGTGCAACGCTTTAAAAACAATAGCATACATTTTTATCCCACGTTAGTAACTTTGTTTGCACAGCACACGTTTAGAAATACTACAAAATAGCACCACAGCGTAGCACCACTCCTGGTACCATGTAAAGTTCTTATTCTGCTGAGAATAAACCAGCTGCACTCTTTATTCCAGCTTCAGCAAACTTTTTATTTTACGAGCTACTCTACGGTTTTTATCTACATTCCAGTTCTTGTGCGTCGATTCTTTATTACACTTTCTTGAGAAGAATAAAAAACGTACTCGTCAGCTTAAAACTAAAAATAATAGAAAGCAAAAGGCGTCCCGCGTCAATCAGAAAGGGCTCCGCGACGCTCCTGACCACTGAACCGTCGTGGACTCTGCTCTTAAAGGTTACACCGGGTCCTTGGCCCCTCGCCGCGCCGCCGGGCCAGGATGATTGGGAGGCCTGTGGTGTGACAGCAGTGATCCTTGAGGCCGTGGCTGGAGGTCACAGGCTTTCTGAGAGGCTGCCAGTACAGGCTGATGTTACACGAGAATGGAAGGAGCTCCGCTGGGACGCTTTGATTAAGCAGGATGATGGACCTAAATATCAAAACACTGCATCACTGCAAGGCCAGCGAAATGTGCGGCAGACGCTGACTCTGAAGTTAAAGGATTATGTGAAGGGAAGCTGGCTGGAAAAGGCAAGTTAGGATTTTCAGCATGTTTTAGTGAGTAGCTAACAGAGGAGCATCTGAATAAATGTTAATTTAGCACATGTGCGACTCCTAAACTCACAGTGCCAAGCTGGGATACCACCGAAAAATACATACGTTTCCCGCTATTTATTTGAAAATAAAAATACTGTTGCATAGCTGTAGGTATTTTTAAGTAAATTTCTTTTACAACAATAAATAAAAAAGGTATCACTGTACATGATTTAATAGTGAGTCCTTTCATTACTTCATATTTAATTTTGTCGGAGGTCGCATTTCGTGACCCCTCTACTACGACCCAAACGAGGGACTCAACCCCCACTTTGAGAACCCGATTTAAATACGTAAATAAATTCACATTATGCACTTATTTATGAATGTTAATTTTAATGATTATAAATAATCCATTTTTCAATTTTCACTAAAAGCAAAAAAAAAAAAAGTGAAAATCAAGTTATGATCTAAACATTTATGGTCAAATCTGATGTGAAAATGGGTTTTTGCTTTGCAATGTATTTACAATATATACAATTTACCACTAAACTTATTTTACATGCACAGCAAACATCTGGCCACTAATAAAAATTTAACAGTGGGGGAAAAAAATAAAGTTACATCAAATTAAAGCTCAGAAACTGAATTTGAGATCACACTCAAAAATAAACTTGAATTAAAATAAATGAAAAAATATTTTAGTAACTGAATTACTAAAATAATCACTTTTCTTATGCTAACATAAAACTCAATTTCTTCCAAATTAAAAATATCTCAGCCACTGTCTTGAGGTCAGGCGTTAGCTGCAGCGCCACCTTGTGGTCTTAGAGGAACACAAACAAAACAATGAGCTTGTTTTAAAACCTTTTATTATTTTTATAAGCTTTTTCAATAGCGTAAAAAAACAGAACATTTCAAAATCAGACTGGGAAATAAAAGTAAAACTAATGAGACGTTTATTCCCAATAAAAATAGGAAAAGTTGGACTTGGTGCGGTATTAACAGGCTGCTTTACCAAAACCCTCCCGCTGCTTAGACAGCGACTCCGGTGGCTAACTTCAGTCCAGACGGGGAAATTAGACAAAGAGGAATATAAACTGTAATTCCACTGACCTAAAGCAAGAAGTCACACAATACAGTAACAACCAGGGTATGGTATAACAATCTAAACACTAACAATCATTGTTTCAAGAGTACAAGCAGTATATGTTACAGAAATTTAGAAAATATGAATGTATATGAACGTTGTTGTTCCATCGCTGGCACCGAAAACAAGCTGAACCTCCCGCCACTCTTCTCACAAACTTTAGAAGCAACATTTTAACTCAAGTCGTAGCAAAACAGATTTGTATGTACAAAAGAGGAGCCGTTTTCTGTCTCTACCTCATCCACCGTCAGCTTCAATGTTTGAAAATGTAATACAGCGACACAAACTCAAAGAGCTTGCTATGTAAAAAGCAACTAAACTTTATGTAGTTGGAGGTCCAGTGTGAAGTCTGGGTTCAGGGATCGAACGAACGAACAAATGCCCATCACTCAGATTTCTTTGATTTGTCTCTCCTCCTCCTCATTTATGCATTTCGGGATTTTAATACGTCTTGACTCCGACTGTGAGAGGCGAAACATTTTCAGAGTTTAACCTCGAACAGAAGTAAAAAGTAAAAACAACAGTCTGCAGACATGGTGGATTATCTGTGTGTGTGTGTGTGTGTGTGTGTGTGTGTGTGTGTGTGTGTGTGTGTGTGTGTGTGTGTGTGTGTGTGTGTGTGTGTGTGTGGCCCTCGACGTCAGAGGCGGAGCGCGTTAACCATGGGTGGTGTCGTCCTCCACAAAGTCCTTGGCCTGCTCCGCTGTGATCACATCGATGTGACTCACCTTAAAGCACAAAGACACAGAGACGCTTCACATCAATGCCACTCTGACCAAGCACCAATAATTCAGGTTATGAAACATTTAACGCTGAAGAGTCTCTGGCAGAGCGGGTCCATAAAGAATTGAGGGAAAACCTCAAGGAAAGTTCTCCATTCCTGCTGAACTTTTGTGGAAAAATGATTAAAGTGGACAGGGTAAGATGGAGGCCTCTGATTGGACGAAGGCAACTTTATAGCTTTTGATTCAGTTCAAGTTTCAAGAAAATGAGCTTTTTTTTTTTTAAAGGTTTTTGCAAGGAACATTAAAATACTTTTTAACGACACTAAATTACTTGGTGAATTAAACTAATTCAATATAACATTATCATCAACTCGGTGACACATCATTACAGCATTTATCTCTGTTGGATTTCAGACAAGTATTAAAATTCTCATTTTGCACAAATTAAAGAGGATACTAAGTGTAATAATTATATTGACCTCATATGAAATACTTAAGACTTTACTAAATTGAAATAATTAAATTTGAGACATTATGGCTTCCTAAGAACCTTTAGAAATGTGGTAGAGTTTATTTTTTTATTATTATGTTCTTGAAAAGCAAAATACGTTTTCCTTCGTTTTTAGGACACGAGCTCCAGGAACTCCGACTTTGAGAAATTGTAGCTTCTGCTGAAGTGAAGATCAGAGGTAATAAAGTCTTAAATTCAACCAGAGTATAGAAATGATTTGCTTAATATATATTCGTATGTATAAATTTAATCTCCTCTTTGTGTGAAGAGTCTTCACCGCCTTTTTTTAGCTTATTTAGCTAACATGAAATTCAAGAGGTCTTGAAGTTACAGATTTTAATGTGTCTATAAGAACCAGAAACCAACCTCTAATGAGTAATTTAATAAAATAATTTGCTTAAAAGAAAATAGTCATCTTCCAGCAGACAGGAGCGCCTCACCTTGTTCCTGAATTTGACTCCGTAGAACTTGTCTGCCGACTCCAGCAGCTCCGGCCTGAAGGTGGTGGTGATGAACTGAGCGTGGCCGGCCAGCTCCACAATCATGTCTGCAAAAAATAGAAAACAAAGCCCGATAGGCATCTTTACAGTTGTTTGTAATATAAATATCACTGTCTATGCTGGATGCTGCATATAGAAAGAGATGACATACAAACTTTAAGAGTTCCCACATATATTCTAGACACCAGAAACTATTTTTTGGTGCTGAAAGTTAATGATTCTGATTAGTCCAAACGCTTGTTTTCTTTACACAGCAGCAAGCCCATCGGTGTCACCAGTTTATCATCTCCGCCTCTAAGAATTTACGCCAGAGAAAACATTTCTTTAGATTGAAGTCAAAGCTTCACAGAAAAAGAATAAAACTGATCTGCTCCACGGCGGAGCAGGAATCATCAGCTGAAGGACGGTGGACGCTCCGCTCGGTCCGATTTGATCTCCGTCACGTCGTTCCAGTTCAAATTTTGATTTTTTACTGCATACTTTACGAAATGCCTTTCGGTGATCCCTAGTCTTTGAATCTCGGATTGTCGAGCCAATGTTGTGAAAACGTGTATTTTCCCATGAGGAAGTGTACAATGGCAGCTCAGGCCCTGTCAGTATCGTAGTTATCTTTTTTTTAATACAGATTTTAGTAAAACAAACTTATAACAATAAGTAAGGATCAATAGAAATTAAAAATATTTTGAAGGGATGATGAAAAATGTACTACCTTTAGTTATTGGCCTGCATTCTTACTACCTTTTACTATCGCGTGGAAACCCTGTACATATATAAAACTACATTTTATACACACATATATTTGCAGATAATAAATACAACATTTCCCCGACCCTAATAATCATCACAGCAGGTGGAAGAAGGCGGCCGATCCTTTACCTGACACAGCCTTCCTGTGCTGGGCGTCCAGGGCCTGGTCGATCTCATCGAACAAGTAGAAAGGAGCCGGGTCGCACTTCTGGATGGCAAAAATCAGAGCCAGAGCCACCAGAGACTTCTGACCTCCGGACAGCTGCTGCATCTCCCTCATCTCCCCCTGCTTCCCCGTGAACGACACCTGCAAGGCAGACACACAAACCCACTGATCTCAGCTGATGCTTCCCGTCTTAATGCACATTAATCTGTTTCTGTGGGCCCAGACAAAGAACCGGAGCGGCTGTGACGGCTTTCATATGGATTACTCACTGCATGACTAACTTCACCTTGGTTGTGTTTTGAGGGGACGGAGCCGTGATGAGGGATGGGTTTTTATTTCCCCAGCAGAACAAAAAAACCATGCAGATACACTCAGAAACCTTTTATACATTTATACAAAACCTTGATGGTAGCATACAAATCACAGTTTCTGTGACTACCTTAAATTTAAGACTTCTAAAATTAATTAAGAGTTCATTATGAATGAAATTTAAGATCTGTATCGTGCCAGAAATGAGGTAAAGAAACAACCTTGAACCCCCAAGTTTTTTTGCACAGAATAAATGTAGCATCGTATGAAGATAAATTTGGCTTAAATCATGAGAAATGCAAAAAAACCTTTCAGCTAGTTAGCTTTTGTTTTTGCTTGCTAGCTAGCTAGTTTTTCTCCTCCCTGTTTCCACTGCAGGAATCAGAAGCATTGGTTACTGCTAACAAAGCTGCTAATATACTTTGCTATATTGCAAGGTATATTAGCAGCAAGTTACCTCTGATCTCAACCACCTTGAGTCACAGAACACAGTGAAGAAACGATTGCCACAAAGGGAGAAAAAAAAACAAAGAACGTACAAGATTTAAATAGTCCTCCCACCACGAAATTTAAGACCTGTGATTAACATATCTAAGACAAACTTACCTTTTTGTAAATTAATTTAAGCCTTTTAAGATTTTATTTACGTGAATTCAAGACATTTTAAGACTTAATGAGGTTACACACACTCCCTGTGTCGACATTTCCAGACGCTTTCTGTTCACAATCAGGAGGTTTTGGCTCAGATTACCATCACCCGATGCGTTTGCGCTCAGTAAACGATGAAACGACTGCTCCTTACTCTGATGCCGACTCCTGTGAACTGGTCCACCGAAGGAACGCTGCTCTGGGATCCGGATCCCCTCTCGCTGCCTTCTCCCCCCTCGCCCTCGTCCTGCGACTGGCTGCCTTCGGCGTCGCCCTTCTTCATCACCAGCGTGGCTTTGCCTCCCGGGACGAGTTTCTGGAAAACCTCGCTGAAGTTTTTCGACACCTGAAAGGAAAGCATCGGGGCCGTTATCGTGCTTTCTCGTGGCGCCAAGTGGTTTTCATCCATGACCCTGCGATCTGCTCGCACCTGCTTAAAGGTGAGCTGGATGGCCTCGTATTTGCGCAGCTCCAACACGTTCATGAGCTCCATGATGGATTTGTAGCCACGATCCAGCTCATCCTGACGCTTGATTAGCTTCTCCTTCTGCTCGGAGAAGTTGACGAACTGATCCAGGGCCTTCTTGTTGACGTGGCTGTACTTCTTCAGCTCCGTGTTGCACTGCTCCAGCTTCCTGAACAGCTGTTGCATCAGAAACAAAATAAAACGATACATCATGTCTTTGTTAGCAGCTACTGCTGACGTGCTATGGTCCAGCTTTGCAGGGTGCGATGATTGATTTATTTAGGCTCTGCCTCATTTCATTTATCAATTTGCATGGGAAAATAAACAACATATGCAAGTATGGTAATTATCTTTACGGTAATGATTTTGTACATGGCTTCTGCAGGTTTCACCCAATCAAATTTAAGACATTTTAAGACCACTATGAATGAAATTTAAGACTTGTAATGCAACAAAAGGATGGGGAACTATTCCTTTCCTTTTCAGTTTTTACCCTACTTGTCATTATAGCTTCATCTGTGGCTCTTCGTTCCCTTTTGGTTTCATGCTCCTCAGTTGTATTTTCCTTCACTGTAACAAATTTGCTGAAATAAAATTCTTAAACAGGGAAGACTGGTGTGTAAAATCCACTAAACCTGTGACGTCAAATGCTGCTCCTACACTGGTGCTAGCAGCAGTAGCGCCAGACATTTTCTGGCGAGCTAGCCAGGAGATCAAGGCAGACATTTCTGGGGTATGTTTGTAGCTCTTAGCAGCAGTTTTGTGCTTCTCACACTGTATTTGTCTCTACAGTTTGAATCCAAGCTGTTTTTCATTTTTATACAGAAAGCAGCCAGCATCTTATGGGTTAGCAACAGATGAACGTTGTCCATCCAATCAGTGATAAATTTGCACTTAATAGATGCAAAAAAAAAAACAGATAGCTAGCTGGCAACTAGTTATGTGTCGAGGCTACTAGTTACCAGTGGCTTCGACATAACACGTGTCATATTTCCACACGGCTATTCCAAGCTCTCCAGCAACACGTTTATCCTTTAAAATCACTAATGGCCAAAGCAACACGAGCGGCTTCACCTCCACTTGAACAATCAGCAGAACCGTCCTGCCTGCGGCTGCCAGAGGAGCAACATTAACTAGACCAAGTGTTTATGAGAAAGTGTGAAGCTATTCTCGGTTTTGTTAAAGAGGAAGGGGGGCTAGAGACACACACACACGCTCACACAAACTCAGACACTTATGAAAGATGCAGCCAAGTCCACTCATCCCTCAGCCTTTGCTCCCAAAGGCGACTGGCTGAGAGCAAAAATTAGACGGAGCACTTGAGTCTGAGTCACGGCTGCGTGGGCAGCTGGTAGGTTGGTAGGTCCTCAACTTTATTCGTACAGAAACACGACTCTAGCCGCTGATTCCCTCGTCTGATTTGGGAATGCGCTAAAACATTTTTAGCGCACCCGCTTAATTATCGTTTAAATATTACTGTAAGAATTGGGCTGGCAACTGCATCAAGTTTTAAAAGGTTTTGGTTTCAAATCAGCTAAAATGATCCTTCATCCCTTTACTACAGTTTAAAGCGCCAACATTAAAATCTAGTTCTAGTTAAATATAAATGTAAACTACTATTTTAAATCCCAGTAGTGCCAGTAAAGTGTTGACACCTTTATCTTGTAACCTTTAACAATGGCCAGGTTTTCAGGCTTTCTGTGGGTTTTTCAAAGTTTTTCTTTCCCACTTATTTTCTGCCTAGTGGTGACTCTCAGCCAATCAGCTCTGCTGTGACGCACTCAGATAAAAGCATCCTCTCAAATTCCAGTGATGAACCAGGGTTGTGTCGCAGGTAACAGCTCAAAACAACAATTTTAAGTTGTTTCCTTTTGCTACCAACAGCATTTTGCAAAAACAAATTGTTCCAATTTATTAAGATGAATCTGTTTTACATATTGAAGAGAACATGTTGAAAGATTAATTGTATTTTAACACCATTATAGTGATTTTTAAAGAGCTCTTAGATAAAAAAAAAATATGGATATTTTTCCTCCATTTTAAAAAGAAAAGCTTTTTAGCTTGGAAAGTTTTTTTCTACTGGGAGGAGAAAAAATGTCTTCAGACAGAAATTCAGATTCAGACTTACAAGAATAATTCTTTAGAGACAAAGAGTTGCACTTTAAAAAGAAATTCAAGGTAACTAATAGTGCCCTGAACTGACAAGGAAGGGAAAAACAAAAAATCTGAGATAATAATTTGACTCTAAATAGTGGCCCATGATGCATTTTCTCACTTGAACCTGAATCAGTTTAGATAAATTCAGATTTAAAATTAAATTTTTTCTAAGTTAGCAACATTAAACAATCTCTATTGTCCTGAATGGGAATTAATTTATTGCCACTTTAATTTTTAAATGTTGCAATGCAAAGTAACTAAAATACAGACACCAGAAAAACTTCATCAAGAGCGAATAAAGTTAGTGGGAAAAAAAAGGAATGAACAGGCACCTGCCGCCGCAAAATAGGGACCATGCTGGTAAACGTGTGTGTGTGTGTGTGTGTGTGTGTGCGTGCGTGTACCTGTTTGAGTGTGAGGGTCTGGTACTTCTCAAAGGCTTCCTGAGGCAGGGAGCCCAGTTCTCTAATCTTCTTCATGCACTCCTCCTTCTTCTTGAGCAGCATGCCCTGCCTGTTGGTCATTTTCTCCAGCTCCTTGGTGTCGTGGTTGATGGCGTCGTTCTGCTCCTTCTCGATGTTCTTCCACCGCTCCATGCTCTTTATATGGTCCTTGATCTCCGCTTCCGTCTTGTCGATGAGACCGTCCAGGTCTGCGAACGGGAAACAATGCTGTAGTCTGACAATTAGCTCTCCAGATAAATACTGGGAGAAGTATTTATAGCTCTTGGACATTTTCAGTTCATCATGTCACAAACTGATTGGACCATTCAAAAAAATGAACAGAATTGTATCTAAACCGGGTTGTTCTGTTTTCAGCTCCATCCATATCAGCTCTGACCAGCTTTTTTGTTCCAAATGAAAATCACTGCAATTTCTCCCGAAAAAGTTCAACTCTGGCCTCACCTGAAGAGGGCGCCAGCCTGCACGTCCCCTACATTGACTTCATGTAGGTCTCTTTCAACAGACCAGATGAATTAATGCCCCCTAAGAGGTACTGCTGGGTATTGTCAAAAATCTCATACTCCAATTCAATTTTGATTAATGTTAAGGAGTAGTACACCAATAATTAATTGGATTATCTCTTAATAATTGTATACTTTACTTCTTGGACCTACCGTCTGATCGAGCCAAAGTCTCTTTAACTCGTTTGTTGATGCCGTCGAGCTCAGACGTGGTCGCTGTGAGAACCGTGCCGCCCTCTGTCTCACGCAGCTCATTCAGCTCCTACATCATCATTACAGTTTCAAAAACTATTACATGATTCCTGTGCTGTGGATTCCTAAGAATAATTAAAAGAAATTCAAAGGACAAATTTCCCATTTTTGTTTCCCAAAGCATAGGTCACCTGTTCGACTTGATCAAGACGTTTCCTCAGGTTCTCGTTGAGATACGTTTCCACTCGGGTCATGATTCCCTCCAGCTTGATCCTCTCGTTTAACAGCTGCCTGTTGTCCTGCGAGGAAACAAAAGAGGTCAAAGCTCATCCATTAGATATTAACTGGTCAATTCAAGACGAATAATGTTGACTACGCTCCTGCATCACAAAAACAAACACCACAGAAGCACTGAGTAAAGAATTAAAATAGTTCCTCTATTCAAAACTGTGAGTTATATGACAGTGTGAAGTCGTTTATCCAACACGGCTATTCATCATTAAAAGAAGGGGTTACAGAGAGAAGGTGGAGTTGCTATGCGATGATGATGAGAGAGGAGCTCAGTGAGATGGAAACAGACCACAGCTGCAGTCTTCTGGAGGACAATGGTGGAAAACGATACAATGGAGGCAGCAGATGTTTATTGTGAGCCACGTCCGCGTGAAGAGGCGCTCCTCATTTCCCCTTCAACAATTACATTTTAAACGCGCCTTTTGATTCCAGTCAGAAGCGCTCTCACAGAGGCAAAAATAACAACTACAAATCGGCCCAATGAGCAATGGGATTCAATTATAACGTTGTGTTTAAGGTCTTAAAGTCGTTTTTTTTATAATCGCTGCAATCGAACCAGAGTCTGAGTGAAACGTCAGGATGTTGTCAGCTGATGACAACATAGCTGACAACATCTTTAAAGACTTAATATCCAAACGAATGAGAACTGAATAATCCAAAAAACTCTTGAAGAAACTTGAATTAATATGAGATACAACATTTAATTTCCCTTTGGTATCAATAAAGTATTTTTGAATTGAATTATGACATCTGGGATAATTCAGGAGATGATTGGTTCGTTTTTCCACTGGACTTAATGAAGAACCACAACCGTCCTTAATGACGATGAAACAAGTTCCTTAAGTTTTGATTATCTGCCTGATCAAAACTAAAAAAACACAAATCAATAAAATAAAAAATAGATGTATCTAAAGTGTGGCAGCTCCAAGTATTTTTTCAAAATTTCGCATAATTGAAAAAAAAAAAGAATCTAATTTTTTTCTTTTCAAAATTGTGGGAACCCGAATTCATAAATTTTGTTTGACTTTTTTTCTTTTTTCTTTTGACACATTTTAAAATGTATCAAACGTAAAAATCTGTTTTCACAGTAATCCCACAAGCTGACATTAAATCTAGTTTTAAATAACTCCAGCCAATCACTTCACAAGGATTTTTCCACGTCATAATTCAGAGGACGATTAGGAGCTTCTCGGCGTTTCTCCTGACCTGCTGTAGCTGACGGATCTCGTCGTTGAGGTCGTCGACGCGCCTCTGGTCCTCCAGGCTGAGCTGGGAGAGGAGGTCGGTGCCGAGCTCGGCCTTCAGCGACTCCCGGGTCGACTCCATGGCGTGGAGGCTGGCCTCCAGGCTCTGGAGGCTGCGTTGCTGAAGAGAAAGAACAACAAATGTTCTCGCATGTCAGCAAATGTTTTCAGCATTCTGACCCATGAATATTTCACAATTTGCAACGTTGACGCTCAAATTTCATTTTTGTCTATTTCATACATTGAGGTACAAATGCTTAATATGCTTTTACAGTTTTTCACATTGTTTAGTATTTAGTATAACTCAAACGGTATGAAACTCCTGAACCCTGTGGATAAAAACTATTTTGTCATCCAAGCGACAAAAAACTGAATGCATGTGTCTGAAAAATGATTTGAAAGTTTATGCCTTCATCTTCTTGCAACATCGACTGCGTGTTTGACAACTTCACTTTCTTGTACAATCTTAGGATCTTAAGCATGATTTGTCGCTACGTCAGTAAAACGATCCTATCGTAAGATAAGAGCTCAAGCTAATTTCTAAAGCAATGAGTTTCTTTTTTTTTTTTAAATAAAAAAATAAAAACGCCACTTTCAGACTCATTGAGAACAGACAAAAAGAATGTTTTTTCTATGCATTTATAGTTTTTCCAAACACAGAAAATGTCTCCAATCCTTTTAAGACTGTGTAGAAACCTGGAGAAATCAACTTGATGGTCTGGTCAACGCTAAACACCAGTCAGAGAAGATGTCTGACCTTGGGCATGAAGGTCTTCTCAGACTGCTGCCTCTTCTCCTTCAGCATCTTCATCTCTGACAGGATGCTGTCCCTGGAGGCCTTGAACTTCCTCTGCTGCGTCTCGATCTGCTGCATCTGGTTCATCAGCTGGTCGATCTCGTTGTTGATTCGTGGAGCGGCCATTAAGGATTCACACGACGTCCTGTTGCTTCATCACAAACAGCTGCAGCTACATGGTTGTCACTGACTTAAAGGACATATTTTTGTTTCTGTGCACTCTAAGAGGGTATAAAATACTTCTTCAAATAATAATCAGTGCAACATATATTAAAAAGAATATAAAACTGATATTTATTGAGAAAACAAAAATACGCTAACCAGCCATCCTTCATATAGTGGGAATGTTTTTATGTTTACATTTCTGCTTTGGCTGCACTGTGTCAAATGAACCAAAACCTTGGAAAGTTTGTTCCCTCCCTCGCCTGTGGCGGCGCTACACCAAGAATGAAACTAGATGAAAACCTGTGAGGAAGACATGACCACAACGTCCTCCTTTCTAAAATATAAACAAAAATGTAGTGGAGTCGGATTTTAGTTTAGATTTAGAAATAGCTAGTGAGACACATTTCTCTCGCTCGCGCAAGATGTAAACATTTGTTTTGGTTGTATTTATTACCCAGAATGCCCTGTGCTATAGAATCCACTTCCTGCTTTTGGAGCTGCCTAAAATCCGCCTGACTTTCACAAGATCTTGATAAAAGCCGACCAAACAGGGCTGGTGTAAATAGAAATTAAAATCTAAGGGGAAATTGATTAATTCTTGACAAGAAACCCCATCCAATGTGTTCAATATTAGTAAAAATACAAATATAACCAGGAGTGATGTAAAATTTGCACACAAAAAAGCAAAAAAATCACTAGCTTTGTTTTAATGGAACAAGCGTTCACTTGGCCAGTGAGACTCCTGATCTGTTCAGCAACCCCAGTTTTTTCTGGCAAAAATTAAATAAAATCAACAAACCCATGTATTTTTTCTGTGCTAATGCATTTATTGTCAGTTTGTTTGACATTTTCCGCAAAAATGGTCAAAAGTGACTGACAACTCTCACCCGTAGGTGTTGGTATTTCTTCCTTTAACTACACTGCTTCCTCATTGCTACTTGAAGACGGGTTATAGCCAAGTGATCAACCAGGAGTCACATCTACTGTCATACAAGAGGGCAAATATCCCACAATTTCTTGCAAATATTTCTAAAGAAGCGCCACAAAATCTGAGACTGATTGCAGAAAATCAAAAAAAAAAAAAAAGGGGGGAAAATAGAAAATTGCAAAAGCATTTTTGAGAGGCTGGAGATTACTCAGCAGGGAACAGAGTTTATTACAGGGCTGCTTGGAGGAGTTTTGGTGCAACCCATTGGCTTTAATAATGTGACCAGGCTTGGGGAGAAAGAAAACTAGAAAGAGCAGCTCCTCATCCTCATCCTCCTAAATTAATAGGCAGATGTATTGATCTTCTGGATCTCTGCAGTTTAAAAATACTTAGGCCAACTAATCTGTCAATTAAACTAAACGAAAAGACAGAAAGATGAAGTAACTAGAAAAAGCTTTAACACATTTATGGTTTAGCTCATATGAGAGTACAAATGCTAATCAGGTTCCATTATCATGAGGTTAACATGACATTAAATGCACCGGGAAGCGTCAAGCTCTACTGGGACGTTAGAGAGAAAAATGAAAACAGAAAAGGGAGTGAAGTGCAACAACTCGTACTTTTCTACAGGGCAGCCAAGGAGAGAGGCTTTTAGTGACTCATTTCAGGGATGAAAGACGAGATCCTGCTTCCCTTGCTTGCTCACACACAAATACACACACATCTGAAAATCCACAGTAGATTTTTCCCTCTGTTTGCATTCGCACGTCGGTGTGAGGCTTTAGATGCTGCACGCATTTTCAAATCTTAGCAGCGGAGAAAGTGACCATTATAGTGCACACGCGTGTTTCAAATCCCACCTGATCCGCTTGTCATGCTTTTCATGTGCTGCCGTGAAGTGAATCATGGCTTTAGCAGACATGACCCAATATACACTAATCCTTCATGACCTGCTGAAGCTCTCCTCCCACTGGCTCTCGGGCAGCTACACCCCCACAATGGATCTAACCCACGTCCAAAACGGAGGACAGCGCCGTGTTCCCGGACTCCTATGACTGCTCCGGATTTCCACGTTAAAACCGGGGCTGAAACGATTCATCACATGACTTGTGACTAAACAATTGTTGAAATAATAGCCAACTAATTTAGTAATCAATTAATCGTTGACTTTGAGAATATGGACTCAGAAAAGAGGCCATTTGCTAAAAGAACACACTCAGAGCAGTAATTAAACCAAACTATACAAAATATATATCTCACCTTTGTCCTCGAAGGCGGAGCTAGGTCCATTAAAGATTAAAGGATGTCTCTAAAACATGCATTAAATAATCAAGGCAACACTGTAGGCATGTTTTTGTTGAGGGAATAACATTGTATGGAAAGATGAAAAAAGTCAATCTTACATAATACTACCTATGATGGAAAAAAGCTAAAACTCGTAAATGTGTTCCACCCAGAACTTCTCAAGTGGCAATTTTTATTTTGGTTCAAACGTGGCAAAAATTTCCACATTTTTTCATCTGATTAGAATAACAGACAGGATGATAAGTTCCTAAAATAATAGGGTATCCAGATCCACCCTCTCAATACTGCAGCTCAGATTCCATAATTGGATGTAGCATAAGGTCAATAATCCGGCCTCCAGAACCGCTAAGCTCGGGCCATATGAAGGTTTAGCGCAAAAATGGGGCTTGTGTCAGAAAACCAATTTCAATTCAACAAACACTTTTACATTTGAGGTCGTATGCATAATTTTGACCCCATGTGGATTAGAGAGAAATCAAAAAATGAATCCAAACTTGCTAATATGTTGCTAAAAGAAAGACTCAAACAATTAAAAGCCCAAAGCGAATGACATTCCTGTCCATAACAGGCTCTTCAAACTGACACTGTGAAGACTTCCTGTGTGTTTTCTGAGCAAAGTAGATTGAAACAAAAGAGTTTCCAGTTTTAAAAACAAAAGTTTCTAAAAGAATAGGCAAGCTGAGTTTACGATAATCTCGAGCACTTAATCAATTTCGAGCAGGAAATATGTGCAGAAACTGTATCGTACCCATTTTTATAGATTCTCCAATAAACATACTTTCTATTTATTTCATCCGGAAAAATTAGAAAATTATGAATCAGCTAAATAAGGTTTTGTCTGGCCATCAGCCTTACAGAAAGCAGATGATTCTTTTTCGGGAACTGTTCCTGGAACTGGAAGATACGTTTAACAAACAATAGATATTTGATTTTAAACGTCAGACGACTTTCCTCTCAGTTTGGTTTTAGTCATAGGTACATAAAACACAAACACTGCGCTGATCCCACCGACTTCCTCCTTTTTGTGAAGACTCCAGCATGAGTCATTTTACTTTAATCAATACATCTGTGTGTGGGGGATATTATCTGTTTGCTCAAGTGATCACTTTACATAAACTAGGTGACTCATTATCCGGGAACTCATCCGGTCGTTGGCCAACATTTTCAGTAACCTTGTAAAAATGTCCAAGTAAAGTTATCTGTGCAAATGTTTTGTGTTAAACTTTCTTTTCTGCTTCGCATCTTTGTCAGGAAAAAAATAATAATAAAAAAAAACCTCGTTAAATCGTCCTGGTGAAGTCACTCCGGATGTTTCACTGAGCAGGATATGTTCGATATTCCGCCGCAGGTTCTCGTTGAGCTTGGCCTCCAGCTCGGCCAGCTCCTCCTCGGCCTTTCTCATGTCCTTCTGCAGCTCCAGGCGAGACTTCCTGGTGTCATAGTAACCTCCGGTCAGCGCTCCTCTGTGGCTCACCTGGTCTCCTATTTAAGAAACACGACAGGTTGAGCCTAAAAGCGTGGCTCGCACAATATTACCCTTTGTGTAAATTTTAAGCAGATACGGAGCTGTCAGCGTCATGAAACGCTAAGATTGGCCTACCCTCCAGAGTTATACAGTCCATGGTGAACGCTCGGGCCAGCTGCGTGGAAACCTCCATGCTGCGACAAATCAGCGTCTTCCCAAACACGTGCTTAAAGGCCTTGTCAAAGTTTGGACTGTAGCGCAGCTTGCTGATCATAGGGATGGCGTCCTGAAGACAGAGAGGCAGGAACATGAACTAAAAGGGGTAAACTTATATTCTGAACAAGAATGTTGGAATATAGACAAAACCTAAAGGGCTGCCGAGCCTTTTGCAGAAACCGCATTAAAGCTGGAATATGTAACTTTCTTTTTTAACATATTTTTTTAAAAACTGTTTCCTGACAGTAAAAGATGAGACAATCAGTGAAAAACAAAAAAAACTTTCTTCCTGTGCTCCATCTGCAGAAATACACTGCTCAGTCAGAGACAACCAGTCAAAGCTAGGAGGAGGGTCTTAGAATTGTCAATCAAGCAGGTGTACATGCTGCTCTCACACTCCTGCTTGCTCTTTGCTGAGCTAAAGGTAGTTCTCAGCAACTTAGCCTGCCAGGAATGCTCAGACTAGTTAACGACAGCAGATAGTTTTCCTGTAACAGCAAGTTGATTCTCAGCCATTACCACAATGAGCAGCGTGTACAAGGTTGATTGACAGCACTAAGCGCTTCGTAGATTTTGTAGCACTGTGTGGAGGTGTGTTTTTTTTGTCTGATTATTCATGTCAAGTTATCTTGTCACACTTTTAATGCATATGTAATAAAAAAAAAAACATTTTTGTAAAAGTTAGTCACTGCAGCTTCAACAGTTGGAAATAAAGCAAGATTCTTACATTGGTTTCTGGGTAGGCGGTGTCTCTGACGTCCAGCTTGCTGAGTGGAAGGAAGGTCACTTCTCCAGGTAAGTTCATTTTGTTAAACTCCATGAGGATTTTTGTGCTCACTTCGTCCGTTTCCACAATGTGGTAAAACAGTCTGGAAGACACGAGTTGATTGTTTTACTGAAACACCTGGCAAAATTATATCTATATGTCAATAAAAAAGAGCAAATACATAAAAGATGCCGTTTCAAAATGACCCAAAAACAGATTCAGATGACACTTGTACGCTCTTGGGGTTATGACAATATGTTGGAAACACAGGAAGAAATAAATACAAATTTATTTGAGCGTATATTGTATTAAATATTTCAAGACATTTTGTACCCTTTACAAAATTAGTAAGAAGATTATAAATGTGACATGCTACATTTCTGAAAAAGTTTTATGAAATCTTCAATGTTTCCTTCATTATCAAAAAACTGAAATCGGAGAGGTCAAAGGTGGCTAATCCTGGGCTCATCCCCCCCAGCAAGTCACAAGAAATATTCACCACTTCATTTTCTCCAAGCTCTAACAGAGCATGACTGTCATCTAGAGCAAAGAGGTTTACATGCAATCAACAACTCGTTTGATTTTTATACACTTACCATAAAAGGTAAAGAAAGTTTGTGTTAGGTGGATTATCGCTTCGATGTAAAAATGCTGCCTGGCAACACAATTTGTACCCCTGGGAAAGCTGATTATATTCTTTCAAACTGAGTTTTTCAAGGCAGCAACACGCATACTCCGCTCTGTTGCTCAAAACATAAAAGCCTGTTTTCTCACGCAGATGGCGCCATTTAAATGGACATAAACAGTTGTTCTAACGGGAAAAATTACTGCCAAGAGGCACCATTAAAAAGAAGTGATCAAAGAGTAACTTTATTACTTTTTATGCTTGGAAAAGATGATTGCAGCAAAGAGACGCTAAACGTCAAGCTCTTCCTTTTGATTTCTTGTGTGAATGAAGAAGGCTGCTCTTCTACAACATGTCAGCTGTTTATAAGGGTTTAGGTTCGTCGCCCTGAGAGTGTTAAGAGTATATTGGGCAACACACCAGAAAACACAACTCTGCTTTTATTGACATTATGTGAATTAGTTAAAGATAATTTTCACATTAACCAGCTTGATAACACACCTACTCATTAACGCTATGAACCCTTTGGGATCAGAGGTACTCAAAGTGAGGCCCCTCACCGCTATGTAAAAATAGATTAGATAAATTAGGACAAAACTAAAACTTTTACATAAAAATCTACTTGCAAAAATACTCGATGCAACACAAAGGGATCATCTTTTCCCAGCTTTCTGGTTTCCTCCTACTATTATAGCAACTAGAACCACATCTACTCATCGACTGAATCTTTTAAGTACACCTTGGTGCAGCCAAACCTGCTTTCTGCTGCATTAGCACTTGGCTAAGTAGGCCAAAAGTGTTTTCAAGTGAAAACTGACCAACATGGGAACATACAAAATATTTTTCAAGTCCAAATGCTTCCAAAGTAATGAACACCTTTCAATTAACAAGGACAATGTTCCTACAATATATATATATATATATATATATATATATATATATATATATATATATATAAGTTTTTTAGCTGATTTTGGTATGACAAAAAGTTTGCAAACCCTTGCCAAAGATGAATATGTAAGGAGTTCAAGCTGGGCATTTTGTAAGAAAGAAAAAATTAAAAACAAACAAAAAGAAAACATTTCTCACCGTGTCCCTGCTGTCACTTCCACGCAGGTGTAAAAAGCTGGCTCGCACTCAAAATTATTCATGACAATGCCATGGTAACCATTGATGACATGCTGGTTAATCCCCTTCCTCCTGAAATGCTCCAAAACTTTGTTTATGCTGTCGATACCGTTCAGAATGGCCTGCGGGAGGAAGAAGAGGAAAGATTGAAGACGTATGAAAGGTTTCAAAACGACAAAACAAAAAGTTGACACAGCAAATAAATTCAACGTCGATAACACCAAATATACTTTGCAGTAATTGTTTTTGTGCATCCGTCACCAGAAACGCCTGCAATGTGGAGCGAAAACAGATAAAGAAAATGTCAATTTCAATATAGAGGGAAACAAAAACCGCTAATCTAAAACGCTAGCGAAAAGGGGGACAGATAAGGGCGAGTCCATCAAATGCAGAAAACGGACTGAATCAGCTGGGACAAACGAGAAAATAAATAAATGTATGACATTTGTCCGCGAAGCTGCAAGCGGCCTCCTTTCATCTCGGCTGATATTATTCAGAGGTGATATTTGATTGATGTATATGCCCAGAAGGAGCGGCTGGATGAGGCAGAGACGAGTGAGTCACATGTAAATTTAGCCAGCCGTCATAAGGTGCGAGAGTTGAGGCAGATGAATGAATTCGCTTGACATACCTATCCTGACAAGCAGGCTGAGTCACAAAGTGAATTCTTGGCGGCGTTCGGCTGGGCTCGCCAAGGCACTTTACTTGGAAATCATCAACACTCGCCAATTTCTCACTCTACCCGAGTAAGTGGATATGTGGACAGATTACTTGAATAGATTTGCAGCGTGACAAGTTTCGCGGCACAGAAATAGCTAAACGTGCAAATGTAAGTGGCCTGGTAGAAAACGAGTTTTTCTCCTCCTCGTCTGCAGACTGTGTTGGCTGTCCTGGTTTTCTGTTACGCAAGTCAGTGATTACAAAGTCCTGCGGAGGGACACAGACCTTGCCTGTAGCCGCGCGGAGGAGCTGCTGCTTCTTCTCCAGGTCCTCTCGCTTGGCTGCCAGGGCCTGTTGCTCTGCGTTCTCCTCTCGCCACAGGTAGCTGGACGAACAAACACAGTCGCACACTGTTACGCTTATGTCGCCAGAGAGATCCGGGCCGACTGCGGCAGCGAGGCAAAGCGTTCAGCGAGAATTGAAAAGACACAAAGTGATTGCTGGAGATTCATGGAAAACTCGATGAACGTGTGTTCACTGTCTGCACTGTGAAAAGTTTTGGAATCCTACAGCTTATTTCTTTAGCTATAAGCAAAGACCCAAAGTTGAGCTTGTGGGAATGAGAAAATTCTGCAAAACTATTTTGCATAATTCAGATTTTTTTTTTTTTAATTGATTTAATATCTTGTTTGAAATATTACTGGATATGGGTTAAATATCAGGCATGTTATGTTACTTCTCTAAGAAGTAGGGCTTATCAAGCTATGTTTGCATTGCAAATATGCAACAATATTCGATCCAGAGCTTAAACCTCTGCAGAACAATTACATTTGCAGAGAAGAAACATGCCAACATTAGCTTAGCACTATAACAAACTGCGCCATAAGAAAAAAAATACATCATCCGAAAAGCAAGAAGTTAATTTAGGGAAGACTGCTACTGAATGTGCCAAGACGGAAACAAATAATAAATCTATTCCCAGTTTAGATCGTCAGAGCATTATAGACTTTACTTTTAAAAGAAACAAAAAAACTAATTATGTTGATTTGTTGATTCATACAGAGGCTGATGTGAAAAAAGGTTCAGATTCACTTTCAGAAAACTATCACACCAAGATTGCAACAATTCTTACTTTCTTTCACTCTGGAGTTCATCTTTCTTGTTTTTCACTTCATAATACTTTTTGTCCAGCTCTTCAACCCGGGTCTTCACCTCATTTAAATCTTGATCAAGTTTCTAGAAGACACAAAGAACAAAACTCACACAAACTCTCTTGTTGGGAGCTCTGATGAAAGAAATATGATTTATACTCAATATGATTCAAGGCACATATGAAGATGATTATGAGACGCCACAGAAATAAGCCTGTTAGGGCAGCAACTTCAGTGTTCAGTTTTGAGGTCTTACGTTGTACTGCTCCAGGTTCTTCTCCTTGTTCATCTCTGTGTCCTCCAGGTCTTTGTGGATGGCTGCAATCTGCCTCTTTTTGTCATTTATGGCCTGGTCCAGTGACTTCAACTCCTTCTTGATCCACTTGTCTCTCTCTTCCTTGGAGGTGAACTGACTGCCGCGGCCCTGCTTGGCATACAGGTCAGTCCTCTCTTGGGTAGCTTGAGCCAGTCTGGAGTGAATGGGGAAGCATTAGTAGTCAGCATAAACAATCAGGACAAGATTGGTCAAATTAAATTTTATTAAAGGTGTTAGTTTGACTTAATGTTAGTTTTATTTCACGTCAAACCTGCTTTCCAAAGTTTCTTGTACTTAAAAACATTCCAACTAATGTAAACCCTGATTTCACAGAGCACTGACTGACTCATGGCTTTCTGCTTGGTCGTCAGCTGCGCAGCGATGAGTCATCCCTACCTAGAGATGCCACGCTCCTCCTTTTCCTTCACCATGTTGAATTTGGGTTCCGTCTCCTGAAGCTCCTTCTGCTTCTCCTCGATCTTCTCCAGCAGCTTCTGACGCTCCTTCAGCAGCCGTTTCTGCCAGAACAAACCGATTACAGCAAGTCAAACTTCCCTCTTTTGGTAAACCGCTTTTGCATAGATCGTTAATTATTCTTTTTCCTGGTCAAAATAGGTTAAAAAAATAAATAAATCAAATGAGTTTTCCACTCATTTTGTCAATATTTAAAAAAAAAAAACATAATCAAAAGCTGGTGAAGTTTATTTTTTTGCTCCACTTTAGACAGAGTGTTGTGCTCATCATAGCCAAATTGGATCAATCCAAACACCGGCAGCCAGCATGAAGCTCCAAGCCAAAGAAAAAAATAAACATTTTCTTCTATGCCTGTCAGCCACTTTACGCAAGACCATATGGAGAGTGATCCGTGCCAACTGTGCAGACAAAAAAAATGGCAAAAGGAACGTATAGTGGGCCTGAAGGTGATTCTGCTGATTACTCGTTTCACTTCAGCAATGCTGACATTCGGTTTATCCCATATGAAGTTTGAAAAATAGACGCGGACTGAAATGATTAATCGGCTTTAATCACAATTAATGGCAATTAATTGACCACTGAAATGATCAATTTAGTAATTGATTAATCGTTAACTGGAGTATGCAAACAAAAAAAGGCAACTTACTAAATTAAATACATATTCAGAGCAGTAATTGAGCCAAAGCTACATGTAAGAAGCGGACTTTCCAGTTATGAACCAGTTTAAGCGAGGCGGGTGAAGACAGCCCTCCCTGCTTTCCCACAGTGGTGCGGATGAACACGAGGGGTGTTGGTGCACCGTCACGTGTTTTTTGTGACGCAGATCGGAGGCTTCCGTACCCTCTGTTCGCTGTTGCCTGCCAGCTCATCCTGCAGGTCCTTGGCCTTCAGCTCCAGCTTGGTCCTCTGCTTGATCTGCTCCTGGCGCTCCGCCGACAGTTGCTCTCTCTCCTCCTTCATGGCAGAGACCTTGGACTTGAGCTCGCGCACAACGCGCTCCGTCTCCTGCAAATAAAGAACAAAAAAAAAAAAAAAAAGGAAAGGAAACAAGATTAAAGGGGTGTGTGATCCGTTTTAGAGGAATTTTCACTTGTTGACTCATTAAGTGACAATTCAGCTCCACAAGACATTATTACTGCAAACAGAATATTATTTATTTGTCTAAAAATAAACTAGATATTTATCTCAGTGCATCAAAACTAAATCTAAATTAAAATGAGACATGATATAGAATAAAAACCAAAGCATATGTATTTTTCTACTGCCCAAAAAAAATACATATTTTTCATACAATGACAAGAAAAAGAAGTACTTGTTTATCATCAATTTTATCCTAACAATAAAAATTTTTCAAATCAAAATTGTCATGCAATGAATTCAGTGATTTCTTGTTTCAACTAAAAATGTTTGTTAAAAATGTCTCAATATTTGAACACCTTAAAAATACGGAGGTCTAATCCTGCCAAAGATAAATGAAAAGACAAACAAAAAAATACAGGACATTAGAAAAAGAGAAAACAATAAATAATAAAAGTAAACTAATTATTAAAATGCTAAGACTGGAAAATGAAATGGAAAATAAAATTAGAATTCAACAGAGAAAGCACAAATCCCACAACCCGGCTTCTTCTCAGGATATTTGCTTGTCTTTTAGTCCCTGATGCATCATTCAAAATATAAATAAAATTATGTTGAAAATGCTAAAACAAATATTCATGTCACACGTCAAAATCTAAATAAGTTGGGAAAGTTTTTATTATTTGAAACCAATATTGCAACATTAATTACTTTATCAAGTCATTTATTTATTTCTACATTTACCCCCAATTTTGGCAAGATCAGTCCTCCGTGTTGACATGGTTTGTACATATATATCAGTTTATTTTTCAGCTTTACCTCTACTTTGTCCCGGGCGTCTTGCTGAGCATCACGCAGTTGTCTGGATTTGTCTCCACAGGTCTCTCTCTTGCTTGACAACTAAAGACAGCCAAGGAATAAAAATAAAAACCACAGAATTCAAGAAACAATAAACAAAACCAAGAGGTTTCCTGCTCTACCTAGTGACATTTTTCACTATTGGATGTATACATTTACACCAGTATGTCTTGGTAAGAAATGGACTTGTGTAAATTCATCACCTCATCTAGTTTGGCTCGAGTTTCATTCAGCTCCTGGTTGTAAATGGTGTACTCCAGAGCCCTCCTCATCTTGTCCCACTTCTGGTACTGAGCCAGCTCCTCCTTCTCATCCTCCAGGGTATGCAGACGCTCCTCGATGTACTTCAGCAGCTCATTGATCTTCTCTCGCTTTCCCTCTGGGAAAAACACACGAGCCGGGTTGTTGTGCAAAAATGTCATCTAACGTTTAGTTTAACAGTACATGATGTTCACTGATAATCGCTGCAGCAAAAATCAGAGAAATCAAAACAGCTGTGGCAGAACGTTGTGTTCAATTATTATCCAGATGAAAAGCTGCAAAATACCAGCAACCCTATCTAAAGATGTTGCAGGTTATTATCACCTTACGTTTTAGGGTCATAAAACTCGACATGATCCATCTTATTTTTAAGTTTACTAAAACTACACATTTTATAGCTTTTTACCCGTCTCCTTCATGAGAGAAATACTCTCCTCCTTTCGTTCGTCGTACACTCGCGTTCCTGCCACCTCTCTCAGAAGCTTCAGTCGCTGAGAATCGGGCGCTGTGGCCATTTGGTTGATCTGCAAAAAGAATTAAAATCAATCAAGTCAGCAACAACACAGTTTAAAGCAAAAAACCAAAAAAAACAATACAAAGTCATAGAAGAGACAACAAACATCTGAAACAGCCATCATTACACAACAAAGTGTTGCTCAGTGTTTCATTTATTATGGTACAAAAAGCAACTCTAAACAGGTAGGCTTTTAGTCTAGACTGAAAGGAAGACAGTCTTTCAACTGTTCTACAATTATTCCAGATGTTTGTTCCAGATTTGTGCTGCGTAGAAGCTAAATGCTGCTTCTCCATGTTTGACACTAGTGATGCAGCGCAGACCAGAACCAGAACCAGAAGACCTGAGAGGTCTGGAAGGTTGATACAACACCAACAGACATTGTGATGCTAAGCCTTCCAGGATTTATAAACTAACTAAATGTGGCAACAAAGATGGAAATGCCTAAAGTTAGTTTATCTCATCAAATCTGTATTCTGAAAAATGACAAAGATTACAAATCAACATTGGCTTAAGGAGGCGAGAACATTCTGTGGGAGCCTCCTGTTCATCTCTCACCACAGCAGCATCATTTCACACTGATGAATTTAGGAAAAAAAATAATAGTTTTCTCACTTTTCCCTGCTTGACAATGTAGTACGGGTTACTGCGAGAGAAGCCGGCGCTCTCCAGAAGGTTCATGACGTCATTCTTACTGCAACGACAAATGGGCAGGAAACTTAGAAAGGAGGCAGAGTTGGACGGTTTTCTATGGGACTTTTTACAAGTACACGGACGGGCGAGGCGCAACAATACGCACGTCACCATCTTCTTGTCCAAGAAGTACTGGTCCTTCTTTGCGCCGATGACACGGCGAAGGGAAACCTCCTCTTTGTCGATCTGGAGGGAGAGAAATTTCTCACTAGTGATGCCGACGGTCCCACATAACGGCTGATTTATGCAGTTTATACAACAGTATTACGCAACTGGCCTGGATGCAGTTTCTAACTCAGTTTAGCAAACTTTAGATTTCCACTTAACACTGTTACAATAAAAAATAAATGAATTAATCGCAATTAGTGTGACCATTTTATGGACAATAGTCGTTAAAGAGATGAGAAATGCTGCAAACATTTGACATCAAGTAATTAGTTTGAAATTCCTGCAACATTTGGCTGTTTTCACTGTCCGAACTTAATAATTGAAGGATGCGCAATTTTGGTTAATCATTTAAATGATTGTTGTTTTAGTTGTTCATTTTGGATATTTACATTTTTTTCCAGTTCCAGAGTTAACATTTTCTTTAGAACCTATTTTTTATTTTTTTTAAATCTGTGAGTGAGTATACAATAAGCCATTCTTATTATTATTATTATTATTGTATTAGTTAAAAATGGCTTCAAATTAACGTTATCATAATTTATCACAATAATCTTTGGGACAATTTATCACCCAGACCTATTTCTAAGCAACTAGCATCATTATCATAGTTGAAGCAGAAAAGTAAAATGACACACCTGCAGAAATGTGTTAAATATTTACCCTGAGTACAATTTGTTATCTTGTTAATGCGATACATACAGAAGACAATCTAAAACTCCAACTAACATTAAAAAGAATATCAGTATCGTCCAAAATAAATTTAAAAAATCAGTGTTCACAATTCTTCAGACACATTTATGAGCACTATGATTATTATCCAAATGTCTTAAAACCTTCAAGACTTTCAGCAAAACACTGTTGAAGCCCAAATTCCCAAGCATCTCACAAAGACCAGAAATGTCACTCAACATTATTTTTTATGCATTATCTCTGTAGTTCCAGAACTTTAAATGGCACTGACATTTTGAGGCTCAAAAAGCAATGGCTGAGAGAAAGACAACAGAAAAAATGTTAATTTGTACCGGCAGCCGGTTGTCGGAGTTATCAAATATAATCTCCACAAAAGCTGAAATGACACGTGGACCAGTTCCTTCCTGCAGTAACAGAAGTAGAAAAACATAATAAATAACATTAAAAACTAATTTTCACAAAGATAATCCTGCCATTAACATTAAAATAGTTTCAAGGTGGTTTGAAAAAGTTTTTTTTCTCCCCCAATAGAGCAAATTCAAGCTACATTCAGGAGACTGAACGTTGTCAGAACTCACATGAAGCAGGGCCAGGCGCTGTTCGGGTCGCAGGTGGCTGAATTCATCGCTGAGCACAAACTGGATAGCTGCAAAAGACAATTAAACATCATGGTCACTTCAATATTGTTTTACACGGGTTGGAGAAATTAACTGAAATCCAGAAAAATAAGTAAAGGAGCACGTACCATAGAAAAAGTTACTTTTTCCAGATCCGTTTCTGCCGACTGAAACAAAACAAATTTGGTGAAGTGGAGATATGGAGACACTCGCTCTGCTCGATATTAGCAAAACATTGTGGTAGCAGTGTTGAACACTGTGATGATACTACCGATTACTAACCTATATCTTTCAAATAAATTATTGGCAGACAGAAATTTCCTACTCATAACAAAAAAGACACATTTCCATAATATGTTTCTGTTTCTATGACAGATGGCTGTTTGTTGACTACAGGGTTTCAATCGCCGGATGTCTAAGAAAGAAAACATAAAAAATCAACCAAATCGTTAGTTAATGAAGGTTTGCAAATACCTTCAAAAACTAAGGTGTAATGAAGGTTTCATGGAAAATACCAAAACTTTTGAGATCAAGTGATTTTATGTCTTATTTGAACCTACGTACACGGTCTTTCTATCATTGTAAGTTCTCTTATTGCTACTTTGGATGACATCATCTGTTCTGATGTACATCTCTTTTGAAATTGTTAAACCTATTGGAGTTGTTCATATAAAAGTTTAGTCAACATTGCATGCAGCAGCAGCTAGCAGTGGAAATTATGATATGATAAACATTGCATCTCTAATTGAAACTTCCATGCAGGACAAAAACACAAGTTGAAACAAAAAAAAAAAGCACAAACTCACCGATCACATTGTGCTTGGGACTAAATGGATCCACAACAGTTTGATCCCTATAACTTCTGAACCCCTGGATAATGACCTGCAGATAAACAACCATAAAAAAAGCACCTCCTTTAGTAATAACAGTGACAATGTGCAATTAGCGTCGAAATGTCGGAAAAAGGCAGATTTAGGAAAGCTTCTTGCAGAATAGACTCAGTATCTTAACTTTGCATGTGGGGATTTTTGCATCAAATACAGATCCTAAAAGCGGGACTGGGCCATTTGGCACAAGCGCTGGCGGCAGCTTTCATTCAGAGCGTTACCAGCCTTATAACAACATAATATAATGATTATAATAGACAAAGTGCAATCAATGTCTCATTTGCATTGCAGAGTTACCTGCAATATAATGTTGGTAACCACTGGCTTAAAAAGCATAGCACTAAAGGTATGAAAATCCACACCGATTATTAAGCTAATAGCGTTAGCTTAGCCTCTTGACATGGAGACGTGCAGCAGTTAAAAGATAAAAAACAGGCCACACCGACACCTAACTTTACAGAAAAAAACTTGACTTTGATTGCATTTTCAGTTTCTTTATTTGGTTTTATTAAGGAAGTCGCATATTACGTGTGAAATCTTTACAGCGTTTAGTAGCATTAGCATACCGTTAAGCTAGCACGGCTGTAGATTAGTTAGGCTACACCGTGCAGAAGCCCAGTGGCTAGCTTACCTGTTTAATATACATGGCTGCTTTTACAGGACGTCCCCTGGATAACACCTGGAGAATACTGTCCCCCACACACTAAACAAAACAACCCGAGTAATTAGAAACAATAGAGCAACTGCTGCATATATAAAAAATAATAATAATGACGGAGTATGCTAACGGAGCATAACATGGAAAATGGCGGCGGGGGCGGGATAGAGCGGCTCGTACCATTTGGTGGAAACGGGGTCTCCGTGGCTAATAAAAAAAGCGCGGATAAATTGTGTGTATTTTTATGAAAAATCGTACTCTTGAAGTTTATGAACTTCTATTGATGTTAACTATGACACAGTCGTGTCAAATTTGGCTCCAAAACGCTTTATTGGTATTCAGGTCTCCTTCCCTAAGCAGTTGGTACAGTCCGACACTTCTCCTCTGGGCGCCAAACAACATTATTAGTGCAGTTCTTCCTTTACCTGCTGTTCTTTAGGAGCCAGCTGCTGAGAGCAAGGTGCATTGAGGAGTTTCATCAATAGGTTATCTGCATTCATAAACAAAAAGGTGATTCTATAACGCCATTTAGAATAAAACATCAAAGTCTATGGGACCATTCTTTTCACGCTTTCAGTTTTTGAATTGTGAGATTTGTCACAAGAAAGATTATGTACCACAGTTTAGAGAAGATGCCTTAAAGCATTTAGTGCAACCAGACTGACTTATTTGGTCGTTTAAAGAAGGTTTGGACTGCACGCTTCATTTTTCTTTCCATCAGTGCATTTGGTTTTTGTTTTGAAGGAGAAATGTCCAATATTCAATAAATAACAAAAAGACGTCCCAAACATCAAAATGTCAAGAGGACCTCCAAAATCCAAAATGGCTGCCTTAAAACTTGGTAGTTGAAGTAAAATGTTTTTGTTTTTGTCCAGCCATTTTTATTGTTATTTTTAATTTATGAATTGCTGAAAGTACAGTTATATAGAAATGATTTGTAAAAGAAATAATTAGCCTTGTTATCGAGATAATAAATAAACTAACATTTTTGATGAACACATAGTATTTCTATTTCCAAACATGGGTCTGCTTAGTGTTCAAACGTATTGATTGGAAACAAATATATTATCCTTAGCTTGAATTGACAATTGCAGTCTAATCCATAACTCCAACAAAAAACAAATCACACAAATTTCCTGACATGCGATTAGAAAACGCTCAATATGTGTTCGAGGTCATTTCTTGACGAGGCATCTTCTAACAATAAAAATTGAGTAATGGAGAAAACAATACATTTCGAGACTCTTTCAGTCATTCCTAAATAGGAAACAGTAAAATAGGGATTTCTGACATTTTTTTAAATATTCTTTTTGTTTTGTTTTATAATCGCAGATAATAAAATGTAGCATTTTTATTCATATGTCCACACTCTCAAAAGAAAATAAAGTCACATTTTAATTCTGTCGTATTTCAATTTTCTTTCTCAGAAGCTTCCTTTCGGTAGCGCTCTCATTAGTCCATGCTGCAGGGCTTTGATCGTGAGGCAATATCAGGATAATTGTGGGTAACAATAATACATTTTTCATCTTTTCGCCGGTGATTTATTCACATCTTGTTTCATAAATAATATGTGGCTTGTGTAACTACCACAATTTGGGAAGACATGGAGTGTGACTTTCATTCAGAAAAAATAAGACTTCTTATCTGGGCTCAAAGTCACTGCAGGTGTCACTGTTGCTTCTTCTTTTAGCACTTCATGTGGACGTAATTGATAATCGGGCTTCAAGTACATAAAAATTACAACATGACAACGCTTCAGTGGTGAAAACATTTATTAAACACATTTCATTTCCTACATTATTGAAAAAAAAAAACAGACCATTGTTTATAAATAACTTAGATTTAAATGCCTAACCGTAATTGTGAATAGGCAAGTGAATCACAATATTAACCTAAGGCATGTATATTGCAGTTAATCACTGTGCTGTGTTGTTTCATCATCGCAGCTCAAAAGACGGAAAAAAACCTTCCCACTGAACAGTTCTTTATTATTGTGAACTCTTCGCTGGGTCTCTTGCTGATTTCCGCTGCGTCCACCCGCTCTGCTGGTATCAACATCAGGCACGCAGAAAGCATTGATTCTCAAAATTTCAAGTAATACTACCAAGCAATCGTAGTTCTGTTTTTTTCTTTAAGGCAGTGCAGTTATTGGGCTCAGTTTCAACGGGTGGTGTACTGGGGACTGCAGGCAAGAGGTAGGGAGGGTGAACATGGATGGCTCAAAGTTTTTGGTGCTGAAAGTGGCGGAGAAGTCATTGGCAAAAAACGAGGCCGACTCTGTGACGCACGGAGTGGCCGGTTCGGGCGCGGCAGCCATGGCCGGGGCGTTGGACAAGACCTCAGACTCGAACTGCAACAGCTGGCCCATGAAGCTGAAGTTGGGCGAAACGACAGAGCGCCGCTGCTTGATGACCTCGAAGGCTTCATTGAGCCTCAGTTTCTGGGTCCTCATGATGTACGCCATGCAGATGGTGGGCGAGCGCGAAATGCCTGCTTCGCAGTGTACCAGTACCTTCCCTCCTGAATGCTTCACTTGGTCTAAAGAGGAAAGAAAGGAAGAAATCTTTGTTGAAATCCGTTTTTTTGGATTCACAGTTCAGCCTCATAATCATCACATTTCTTCTCAACATGCGACATGTCCAAAGCTACTCTTGTCAAACAAAGACACCAGCCTTTCTGGCGCAAGGAGGCAAACTTCTTTGGCCGGTGTTAGTCACAAAGCTCACCAGCTCCCGCACTAATGTGGGCGCGCTGCATTCAGCCTCCACAGATGTGTGTGCTATGCGTGCTGCGCTCCTACGGGTTTTACAGGTGCATTCTCCCACCTCCACACGTATCTACTTTCACCTATCTCTCTAAATGTTCCTTCTTAAATGCTTCAAGAATTCTTAGAAATTCTCCAAACACCTACAGGTCTGTACTTTCATTCGCCTTGCGTGCGAGTCTGATCCGCCCACGGTTGCAGACGGCGGTTTCATTAGCCACTGTGCACACCTACACGTCTCTCTGTATCGCAGGAACTCTGGGGGCCACTTCTATCCGTTCCAGAGAGGCCCTCTTGCTTAAAAGAGCGACACCGACCTGAATCGAGCCGGACAGGATCTGTGGGTGTTTTAATGACCGAAGTTTGCTCTGAATTAACAGGACATACTTTAGTGGGTCAGCAATATTCATTATCCTTCCCCGTCTCACCGTTACATCAGTTAGACACATTTGGGATTTGCTGATTGATTTTAATTTAAGACCAGCAGCTGTGATTATTTGTGCACCCTGCGTGTCTAATGGCTGATGAATTTCGGAAGCTGCGCTTAAATGTAGGTTAAAGCTGCTCCCAGGAACACTTTCGATACCTTATGTAACAACCAGGCTTACGCAGGACCGCGTCCCCAAACAATGCAGGGTACTGACAATACAGGTCAGGCTAGCTGCTTGTGGATGAGCTATCTCTTTGGTTATGCCAAGCTATACATATCCCATTGTGTATTATCTTTGCTGCTGCTGTTATGCAGCAGCCTCATTACCTGTCCTACATGCCGTGCTTCCCTCTGTAGCAGATTTTGCTCCCCTGCTGGCCGCGGGGCTATCAGTAATTTCCATCTCGTTCGGACAAAAAAACCCTCTCTTACTGTGCGATAGTCACCCAGCTTTTACCCTCCACAGTCATCACAAATGATAGCTTGTTGTGCTGTGTGTCTCAGTCAGCCTACAAATTCTGACCCCATTGCTACAGTTCACCTAGTTGTCACACTGACTGACCACACCCGGCAACGCAGAGATTTGGCCGCGGAGCCCATGACGGCATCAGAGAGCCATCGACGCGTTAAGACGGAGGAGGAGGGAAGGAGATCGGAAGGGAATGAGGCTGGAGAGGAAATCCTGACTGACAGAAGTCTGGCTGGGTTATATCGGTGAGGGATTGAAGGCTTGTGATGACGATAAACTGATTACCGCTGGGTTTCTCAAAGCTTTCTAGTTGTGAATGGCAGCAGGCTTGAGATAGAGGGAGACTTATTTCGAGACACTCTTCAAAAATAGCAATGCCTATGTATAAGTATACAAGTCTTTTTGTGTCCCAGCCTGGGTATTTTTAAGATTTGAACACTGTGGCCGTAAAACCCGTACAACGTCCTAATTTAGCATCCTTGCAGACTGGACGGATTAAAGTATTTTAACTACCAAGACTCTTAGGGTGGTGAAAATATCCAGCCACTCACCAATGAATTCTATTGCCTCCTGAAAGTGTGAGCTAATGTCGGCCATGGGGCTATCCTCCACCGGGATCCACTTGTAGTCGTAGTGGCCCCTGGTCGGATGCAGGTCCCGACGCGACACGTTGAGCAAGGCTGTGATGTGAAGGTCGCTGAGATAGTCCTGTCTAGAAGCGTGGTAGGCACTGCCGAGGTAGAGGAAAGGCAGGATCTCTACGGGTTTACCCTGGAGCGCAGAGGAAACAGAGACATAAGTCAGGTGTTAATGGGCAGGAACACACAGCCTCTCAGAGAAGACAAAACATCCACCGCCAGCCTTGATCCATCAGCTTTTATCCACCCTGAGAAAATGCACGTTGTGTTCATTTACAGACAAAAAAAAAGTGTAGTGGAAAAATGGAGGAATGGAGCCATTAAGGGCAGTAGTACCTCACAACGTGTCAGTCAGAGAGACACAGGAGGCCTTTCAGATTTCTATTTATAGTACACATGACAGAGGAAAGGTTGCAGATGAAAGCCTCAGTGAGGGTTGCACTTCTTTGTCTCTCTCTCTCTTTTTTTGCAATATATATATAAAAAGAACCGAGGAGCACTGAAGGTCAGGGAATATCACGATGTGGCTTTGATGTCAGATATAAGCCTCTCTGACACCAGCGTGGCTCGGTGTGTGCGTGCCATATATAAAAACCTGACAGTTTGCAGCTGTGTGGGAGTGGAGGGGTGTTTCCATACCTGATCATAAACTGGTTTGCGGTGAGAAAGCTTCTCGCTGTGGCTGCTGACTCTTTTCTCGGTTTCAGTTCCGCTCTGGTCAATGGTTTTCACCTCAGTGCAAAGTTCAGGGTATTGAGAGTAGAAGTTTTCGTATCCTCCTGAGCAACACAGAGAAATACACGTCACGGTTATGCATTTTTAGAAAAGAAGCTTAGAATAATTACAACCCCACCTCTAGCCTACTAACGCCTTCACACAAGAACGCCACTTCTTGTGAAATGGCAGTGTTTATGAAACAGTCTTAGCGCCGGGATTTGAGAGTTTATAACCTGATTATAGACGCGTAATTAATTACAGGAGCCCTCGCTGGGGGGACCGGTAATCCGTTGAGGCCAGCATCCTGACAGACGGAGACGGACGCGCTTCCCCGCACACTGCCGCGACCTGAGATGACCCCGCTGCCCGTTGCTGTACAGTAAATGTTGGGGTTCCGAGTGAAGGGACCGGGCTCGGTCCGACGTCTTTACCGCTGCAGCACCGAGCTGCGTCTCTCCGGCACTGACTCATCCGCGCTACTGACGCACGCAGGGCATTCATTTCTCCAGTAAGAGTGAGGAAAAATAGCAATGAAGTGATGGCGATACTACCAAAATGTTGGTCGACCAACATTAAAAAATAAAAGTAAAAATAAGAATTTTAAGGTTATTTGGAGGAGTCTGTAAGATTGCGTGCATTCAATATAATATAATATAATATAATATAATATAATATAATATAATATAATATAATATAATATAGAGTCAAGTAAATCTGTCATATTTGGATATTTATATCATTTCAGTCTGAAACAGGCAACAAAACCATGTAATGTGAGGGAGAAAATGAATTTCATGAATTAAATCAATGAGCAAAACAGAACCAATGAGAAACTGGTATATAAATAATAATAATAATAATAATAATAATAATAATAATAATAATAATAATAATAATAATATAATAATAATAATAATAATAATCCTTACCTTTCAAGAAGCAGATGCTGGCCCCGCTCGCCAGATGCGACAGGGTGTTTATTACTATCTGTGCTACGCTGTCCTTCTTCAGCTTCTGCCAGTGGGACGTCCGGTCGTCGAGAGCCACGATCGCCGATATGCTCCCCTCCCGGAGCCGAAACAGGGCCCTCTCGTCCGGGATGACGAACTGCAGGGGCACGGGCCCTCCGCGGGACCTCCGCACCACCAGAGAGTTGAGGTTGACGTTGACGGAGCCTTTGATGCTGGAGGTGGTGAACGAAAAATAGGGTCGACAGTCCACGATCAGGCAGCTCCCGCACTCCTTCCTGATGAGCTTCTTCAGGCGCCGGCAGTCAATGCTGGAGACCTTCATCCTGAACACTTCTTCTTGTTGTTGTTGTTCTTGTTGTTGTTGTTGTCTTGAACAACTTGAGCTGGACGCGAAAGCGGGCGAGCGGCGAAGCCCAGCGAGAGTCTGTGCCTACATTTCCTCCGAGGGGATTCCGGCCGATCGGTTTTATGTGAATGGGACCTCCGGTGAGTGACGTCGACAACCATATATGGACACCGGCGCCGTGCGCGTTCGCAGGAAAAAAAAACAAAACCCCGCCCACGTCCAGTGGCTTTGCGCTGTGACTCCGCCCGCCCGCGGGACTCCGGTGGATAACAAGAAGCCCTGCGCAGAAACTGCGGCCGGCGCTGCCGTTCCCCGCTCCGTCTCTCCGCTGTTTGCAGCGCCGCGGTTTCTGAAGACACAACCGAGAAGCCGTCACAGTGATTGCATAACAACGCCTTTGCGGCGGCTGGCTTGCTTGCATGTTCTTGCGAGGTTTCCTGCAAGAAGGCAATTCGGGAAATGGCTAAAGGGCGATTCCGCCTAATTTTTCACTACTTTCCGCATCTTTCATGGGCTCTTGTTTAAAAGCCACAACACCTGGACTGGATCACTCTGCTCTGCCAGCAGAATATTTCAAACCACGCTTTGTGATTTGTGAAACATTTGTCTGACTTGTGAAACGTCAGTAAAGGTTGCTCATCAGCAATGTTGACATTGCATGACATAGATGTTCCTCTTAAGACTATTCAAAAGGCCAGACTGAAACTGCAACAACACTGACAAAGCTGCAGGAGTTTCTGGGAAGGGCTAGTCATGTTTTACCTGACATGAAAAACTCCTGAGTCTGGATTAAGAAGGACTGATGATTAAAAATAATTATAGTAAAAAAAAAATATTCAATGTGAACTCCTGGTTTCCACTGAACGTCCAAATAAACAAACGAATGACGTCACTAGAGGAGAATCAGTGTTCAGGTATGCCATAGTCAGAGTCCAGAGCAGAAAAAGGTGCTTTTACAACATGTTAGCTTGAGATTGTGCACTGTTTAATATTTTTCCCCTTATGGGTATTTTGAGTTTTAAGTATATAAATCACATTTGAGGTGGAAATATAAAAAAAAAAAATCCATCATTTCCCTTTTAATTGTGGTCAGGTTTATAGATAGTTGTATTCAATTCTACGTATCATTTACTTTAATTATACTTAATTTATATTCACTTTTTAGAGCTGGTATTAAGCTCACTGCTTGTGTCCAAAACTACCAACATCTGAAATGGAGAAAGGGGAAAAGACCAGCACATGTGGAACTGCACAACTTCTGATTTTATTTGTGATACTTCCTTTTTTGAGTGCATAAAACGTAGAATAGAACAATGCCAGCTCGGTCACTCGGCATGAAAATTAGCATGGTGTTTTCCATTTTCCTCGGAAGGTGAAATTTGAATGTTGAAGCGGTGTCAGAGCCGACATTACGCTGTTTACAGCTGAATCGTGACGGTTGTGCTCAGGCGACAGCCTCACATGGCTTGTCTGCACCGGTCAGAGCCGCCATTGTTTTTTTTAAATACATTTGAAACTGAACGCGATTGATTGTTTATTTAACGGGACATTATATCGGCTTTGACTCTTATCGTGCAAGAGGCAGATTGGTACAGACACCACAGGTTGTCTTGAGCATTTTTTAAATTTTTTTCTCTTTTGCAGGCAGAATCATTTTCCATTGATGAATTAACTCGGAGTGAAATGACCACTCACAAGCTGACCCAAATTCGAGCCACGGCCTGCGGGGGAACAACAGGACAATCGAGTGGAGAACAGAAAGCTTAAATCCTGGGACAATTGTTCTTGGAGTAAGGAGCAGTTCAGTGAGGAAGACTTGTGGCGCTGAAAAAAATGACAAACATGAGGGGACCTGGCGAAACAAGGGAAACGGACCACAACAACCAAACGGAGTGAAATCGGAATCCACTCGAAAGGCGGAATCACATGCTACAGGCAACACGCCTCCTGTCTAACAAATAACACTTGAATGTAGCTAAAATTATAACCAATCCACTCCAGACCCAACAGTAGCAGCTGCTTCTTTGGCCCTGGACATTCTCAGGAGTTTATATTTGTGTGAAGGGCTTATGAATAATCCTCCATGTGGGCTAGTCAGGAATGTAGCTGAGTTTCAGGAAGAGATCAGGCAAAGTAGCTGACAAAAGCAACCTCTGACTTCCGCCCGGTCCCACGTATAGCCCAGTGACCCAGCATGACTTCTCTCCAGCGTCCCTCAGCCTGTAAGCCTAATCCCCAAAATTAATTAACGGGCTTAAACGTCACTCGACCTGCCCGCACATGACAAGCAATCAATCCTGACACACGGCCCAGGACTCTGTTTGGGTTCAGCTGGCATTTGGGTCTAAATATGGATGCCTACAGAGACTGTAGACCTTACAGCAACACAAACTGGTCTGAACTTGTACTACTTGGGGAAAAAAATAAATAAATAGATCCTGAAATCCTGTTTGGGGGCGGGGATGTAAGGTTCTGAAATGCTGAAATGTGTTCCCAAAATGAGGAGTGTAGATTATACAGATAGGCATAATTTTTTTTCCCCTCAGTCTGACCTTAAAAAGACGTAACATTTCCTGTTTTATCTTAGTCTGGATCATTTCTAATTGCTATATCCGAGAGTAAAGAGACAAACAGTTGCTTAGTGACTTTTTAATTTACTTTCTTCAAATATAGACGTCTGGATGAAAAAGATCATCGTGTCTATCAACGTATGGGAATGACCAAATGATGATGTCATTGTTTTTGTAGGTTAATTCATGACATTTGAGTTAAAAAAAAAGTAACACATGTGGACATAGTTCACACTTCAAACATAATGTTTCCTCCTGTGATATCATGAAAGAAATAATAATGAACTCCCCCCCAAAAAACAAATAAAAAACAACAAACACACCAGGAAGAGAACTATGCGTACTTCACCCCAGGTGTGAATTAACCCAAGAACAAAAAACAAAAGAGCTTGTGAAGACGCTAGCTCAGAGCGCCACTATCCACAGAAAAGTATTGTTTTGGTCGTGGGCTCAAAGGCCGCTCGCTCGGCTTGGAAGAAGCCATTACTCCAAAATCAACACAAAAAAACGAGATTAAAGTTTGGAAAGTCACACAAGGAAAACGCAGTTTGCACACATCACCTCTTGGTCTGACAAAACTAATCACCAAAACTACAGTGTCTATAAAAAAGTGTTTACCCTTTCTGTGTTTTATTTTTTTGACAATCAGTCATGATCAACAAAATCTGGGGGTGTTTGGGAGGATGTATTCACTTACAAAGAAATCCCGTTAAGGTCAAAGTGAAAACTGAAAATTACCCTAAAGTACTGCCAAGTCAGTTAAAGTGGTCATCTCAAAACCCTGATCTGGACAATTTGTAGCGAAAAAAGTTACATTAGCAAGAAAAATCTGGCAAATTATTGTGGGCAGGTTGTAACTAACTCTACAAAATACAAAATGGATGTTTCTGTAAAAAAATATGTATTTCTTATGCAGTGTACATAAGCATTTAGTTTCACTTTTACTTTGCATCTTTTTTTGCCTTATACAGGCTAAACATTGTTGTTCCTAGGTTCATGTTTGTCTTTGTAGACCCAGACAAAAGCTAAACGTTTCATAAAAATGCAAAAAAAAAAGAAATGAAAATTCTAAATTACATGTGACATATTTATTTCAAATGCTTGCAGCAGTTGTTCATTTACATGAAAAACATCACATTAAAAGAAAAGGTAAAAAAAAAAAGCGGGGAGAAAAAGAAAAAGTCTTTCAGCACATCAATAGGAAAAAGACTTCTTTCAATTTAAGTGTGCAATTCTGCAGATGCTTTAGCAAAATTATTAGTTATTTTCTCCTTCCAGCGCCACTCACCGCTGACCCAGTAAATCCACACAAAAACAGCCCATGTAATTCATCTGAAAAGCTCCGTGGGCAACGGACTCAACAAGTAGCTGTTACATCATGAGTCTGAGGCATAAATGCACAAGAACAATAACAGGAGCAAGAAAAACAAGAAAAAAAAGGAAGAACGACAAGGAGAGAACTGCAGGAGTCACAGAAAGTGAGAGATGGGCAGAAACTGACAAAACATAAACAACATCAAATAAAACAATCGACTGTCATTTTGGTTGCTGCATTGTGATTTTATGGTGTAAAACATGCTGAGCTGCCTTCTTGCTGAAATGTGCCGTGCATGTAAACTTGACTCGACAGACAATTTGCGTTCATATGGATGTATGTATGGGTGGAAAGGTGACTGGACAGCAGCAGAGGATTAGAGGAGGCAGCAGGCAGCGTGCCATATGGCCTGGTCTAATCTGGGCCTGTGACATCACTGATGCGAGGGGAGGCCCACCATCCGTTCCTGAGCCCGTTTCGCTGGACGGGCCCATTGTCAGCTGTAAACAATAACAAAGCATCCAGGTGAGCCAAATCTACACTATGTTTCGTCCTGTGGGATTCGAATTCCTTTTCATTCTCACAATAGCCACTTTCCCCTCTCCTCTGTCACATAAACTCTCGACAGGCTTGCTCCAGCCTTCGGGCCGCTCTGCAGAGCGGCTGTGATGTGTTCGGGAGGCAGGCGAAGCCCCGCAGGCCGCCTCAGAGGACTCGACTGGGTCTGAACCGAGAGTGGACCGTGTGAGCTGAAAACACAAGTGCAGCAGTTTCTCCTGTTCTGATGTTTGATGTTCAGTTCAAGCGTGGAGTTTGGCATTACTTTACAACAGAAATTAAAGAGGGAGGAGGCGGAGGGAATGGAAGAAATATCCCTAATCGCAGCCTGCAGTTTTGCTTTTGCTTTGCTTATGAATGCTTGAAGAAGTTTTTTATACCACTTCAACCTGTCCACTGTTTTCTTTGAAAGAACTACAAGTTTCGGTGTATTTTATTAAAATTTGATCTAATGAACTCACACAAATCATTTTAAAGTGGAAAGAAAATATATTTCTTTTAATCCCCCCAAAAAGTGTTACTTCTTTCCATTCAGAATAATGCAAGGGATACACTGTGTCTCACTGGGAAGGAGGGTTAAAGTTAGCATTTTGCACATAGGTTAAAAAGTGTCATCTGAACAGAGCGCTTAATTCTTTACGAAGGCTACGTTGTATCAACCCTAC